CGCCACAAGGTCGGCGACGGTCCACCCCGGACGACGAGTCCCCGCGCTCCTGGGCGGGGGGGAAGGGGCTCTCGGGCCCTCTGCGGGCGACGAGCGGGCGGTTGGGTGTCGGTGCTAGGGGGCCACATGCGAACTCTGCCCCTGCTTCCCACGATTTCTGAAGGGGGAGGGTGGGGTTCCGTTCGCTCGGGAGCTCCCGAACGAAGTGACCCCCCCCCCCCCCTCAGAAATTGTGGGGGGTAGGGGTAGGGTTCGCATGTGGCCCCCTAGGTGCGCCCCCCCCCCTCCCCAGACCCCCTTCGCGCTGTGAAAAAAACCCAGCGGGATTCTTGTTTCGCTATTTTCTGCCTCCGGAGGCCCTCGCCGCTCTCGCGCGTCGGCCGCGCGCGTGTCGAACTCTTGTGCAAATCTTCATCGCCAACGCGAGGGCGCCGTCATCGTCGTCGGCGTGATCAGCATCGGCGCCGCCGCTGGCCGTTTCATCATCGTCGCCAGCGTCGCTAATAAAGTCGGGTTGCTGAAATAAGGAACGCTAGATAAGGAACGAAACTTCATCGGCTTCAAACAAGCCTGGGTGCACGAGAAAGGCTAGAGGAACAACCGCGGAAAGACGTAAGGAACATCGACCCCTTCCGAATCCAAACTGTTCCATATTCTAACGTCTTGGCTGTGTCATCGCTGCGTCTACCGTTGTCAAAGTTGCCGTGGTGCCGCGCCCGCCCAAGTGGCCGACTCGCACTGAAGTCCCCGCTGGGAAGTGCGCGGTGGTCAGCCCACCGCGGCCGCGTCTGTCGTGCACGCTTGCTGGCCGCTGCGCGCCAGCAACCGCGGGCTTGCGCGGCCGCGGAGATGCACCAGCCAAACCCAAGCCGTCATCGCAATCGCTGGCGCATGCGTTTTGCGAGACGAGTTGCGGGTGGTCGGGTGGGAAGATTGCGCGAGCAGTGGGGGTGACAACTGCGAGTTCCACATGTGAGCTGCGCCGGGCCTCGTGACCTTCAAAAAACCCCATGTTTGCTCAGACCAGCCGCGGGAGCGAGAGCCCCTCTATCCTTCCCTCTCTCGCTCTCTCTCTCTCTCTTTCCCTCTCTGTCCCTCCGTCTGTCTCTCTCCCTCTCCCTCTTTTGCTGTCTGGCGGTCTATCCGTCTGCTTTGCCTCAGACTTGAACGACCCAACGCAATCTTATTCACAACTCCGTGCAACGCATCATACAAAATGGAAGACTCTTTGCAGCGCAGCTCTTGCACCTCCTGCGCGACGGCGCCTCGGGCCTGTTAAAAACCTTATCGAGAACAAGGGGCCGCATTCTTTCCGAACCCACCTCCCCTCGATCTAATATCGCGGTCCCAACTCAGGTGGGCAGACTAACGAAATTCAAAACACGGCCCCGGCAAAGACTGGAGGAAAAGCGGAAAGCGGTCTCGCCTGGTGCGAATACGACGATTAGTTCCCCACATCCTGAGTGGGGTTCTTGTTTTCCCAGAACACCCTCTCCTTCCCACCCACCTCCCGCTCCATCTTCCATACAGCACAATATTATTCCTACCACACACACCATACCATACCATAGTTCCTACCACACATACCATACCATACCATACCATACCATACCATACCATACCATACCGTACCATACCATACCATGGCGTACCATAGCATACCATACCATATCACACCAATGCCACACAAGGAGGCCCCGCCTGAGCGAGGAGGGTATCGGAAAACCATATTATTTACATGGTTTCGTGCCCCTCCCACCCCTCCAGGGAGGCCCCGCCTGAGCGAGGAGGGTATCGGAATACCATACTATTTACATGGTTTCGTGCCCCTCCCACCCCTCCAGGGAGGCCCCGCCTGAGCGAGGAGGGTATCGGAATACCATACTATTTACATGGTTTCGTGCCCCTCCCACCCCTCCAGGGAGGCCCCGCCTGAGCGAGGAGGGTATCGGAATACCATACTATTTACATGGTTTCGTGCCCCTCCCACCCCTCCAGGGAGGCCCCGCCTGAGCGAGGAGGGTATCGGAATACCATACTATTTACATGGTTTCGTGCCCCTCCCACCCCTCCAGGGAGGCCCCGCCTGAGCGAGGAGGGTATCGGAAAACCATACTATTTACATGGTTTCGTGCCCCTCCCACCCTCCAGGGAGGCCCCGCCTGAGCGAGGAGGGTATCGGAAAACCATACTATTTACATGGTTTCGTGCCCCTCCCACCCCTCCAGGGAGGCCCCGCCTGAGCGAGGAGGGTATCGGAAAACCATACTATTTACATGGTTTCGTGCCCCTCCCACCCCTCCAGGGAGGCCCCGCCTGAGCGAGGAGGGTATCCGAAAACCATACTATTTACATGGTTTCGTGCCCCATCCCACCTCTCCAGAGAGGCACAACCATACTATTTTACATGGTTTCGTGCCCCTCCCACACCTCCATGGAGGCCCCGCCTGAGCGAGGAGGGTATCCGAAAACCATACTATTTACAACCCTCCCACGAGGAGGGTATCTCATACCATGGTTTCGTGCCCCTCCCACCCTCCAGGGAGGCCCCGCCTGAGCGAGGAGGGTATCGGAAACCATACTATTTACATGGTTTCGTGCCCCTCCCACCCCTCCAGGGAGGCCCCGCCTGAGCGAGGAGGGTATCGGAAACCATACTATTTACATGGTTTCGTGCCCCTCCCACCCCTCCAGGGAGGCCCCGCCTGAGCGAGGAGGGTATCCGAAAACCATACTATTTACATGGTTTCGTGCCCCTCCCACCCCTCCAGGGAGGCCCCGCCTGAGCGAGGAGGGTATCCGAAAACCATACTATTTACATGGTTTCGTGCCCCTCCCACCCCTCCAGGGAGGCCCCGCCTGAGCGAGGAGGGTATCCGAAAACCATACTTTTTCCCAGAACATCCTCTCCTTCTCCCTCCCGCCTCCCGCCTCCCATATCAATACCATCTCCACCCCTCCAGGGAGGCCCCGCCTGAGCGAGGAGGGTATCGGAAAACCATATTATTTACATGGTTTCGTGCCCCTCCCACCCCTCCAGGGAGGCCCCGCCTGAGCGAGGAGGGTATCGGAATACCATACTATTTACATGGTTTCGTGCCCCTCCCACCTCTCCAGGGAGGCCCCGCCTGAGCGAGAAGGGTATCGGAAAACAATACTATTTACATGGTTTCGTGCCCTTCCCACCTCTCCGGGGATGCCCCGCCTGAGCGAGGAGGGCATCGGAAAACCATACTATTTACATGGTTTCGTGCCCTGCCCACCTCTCCAGGGAGGCCCCGCCTCAGCGAGGAGGGTATCGAAAAACCATACTATTACTTACATGGTTTCGTGCCCCTCCCTCACGTCCAGGGAGGCCCCGCCTGAGCGAGGAGGGTATCGGAAACCCATACTATTCACATGGTGTCGTGCCCTTCCCACTCTCCAGCTTCTCCTTCGTGCTGATGTTATCGTACCCCGTGGGTCCCACGAGACCGTTCATATCTTTATGTGGGGAACTCCGTTAGCATAATTTTTCCCCCGCCTTCCTCCAGACCTCACACACCTCCACATACGCTCTCGTGACTGCAGGCGCACACACATAGTCGATCTTGAACTTGCGCTCGCCCAAGTAATGATCGAAACATTGGCTCCTTACAAAAAAAATCACTGCAACAAACCCGTGCTGGCATGCAGGCTTCGTTCCTCTCCTCCTAGACGAGCGCTCGCGTCAAACATCAAAATTGGGACCGTCCCAAACGGCAACAATCCAATAATTCAGAATCCCCCTCCGAAAAACCGCACATGTCATCTCATGCGCCTGCTTCTCCTTCTTTGCCCCGTGTGGTTCCGTCGGCGCATACCCCACAATCGAAGTCATGTTCGTCAGTCGTCCGTCGGCGACGTCGTCGTCGTCGTCGTCGTCGTCGTCGGCGTCGTCGTCGTCGTCGTCGTCGTCGTCCCCCGCCCCCCCCGGGGGCGCGCCGCGTGCGCCCTCCACCTCCTCGCGCCGCTGGCCGAGGAGCCGCCCCAGCTCGGACCGCTCGCCCTCCCCCAGCGGGCGGGGCCGGCCGTTGCCGCCGCTTCGCTCAGCGGCGCCGTCGCTGCTGCTGCCCGCCGCCCCCTTCAGCTCGAGCTTTTCGAGCTTCGGACTTTGAGGTTGCCCTGGAAAGGTTTTTAGACCCCCCAAATATGGGGTAAGTGACTATTTTTTTCGGCGGCCTTATTGAGGAAAGAGAGGAGGAGGAGGAGGAGGAGGAGGAGGAGGAGGAGGAGGAGGAGGAGGAGGAGGAGGAGGAGGAGGAGGAGGAGGAGAGAGGAGGAGGAGGAGGAGGAGGAGGAGGAGGAGGAGGAGGAGGAGGAGGAGGAGGAGGAGGAGGAGGCGGAGGAGGAGGAGGAGGAGGAGGAGGAGGAGGAGGAGGAGGAGGAGGAGGAGGAGGAGGAGGGGGAGGAGGAGGAGGAGGAGGAGGAGGAGGAGGAGGAGGAGGAGGAGGAGAAGGTTTGGGCCCCAAAGCCTGGTGACCACCGAGACACCTCAGATTGGTGTGGTCGCCAGGTGCAGCTCGAACCTCAGGCGTGCTCACTGAGCCGCGCGCCTGGTTCTCTTTCTCTGTATCGAACCTTCTCCCCGCGCATGTTGTGAAGACGGCAGGTCAACGTGAGAAGCCAGAACCAGCTTGGCACCGCAGACTCCGACAGAGACGAGGCATAGCCAGGCTGCTCGTCCGACTTTCTACTTCTAAGAAGGTACTGCAGGCGCATCACTCGGCCAACTCTGTACAGAAGATGACGACTCGTTCAGCAGGCCCGATGCCAGGGCGCACGTGGAACTGCGCCAATTGTTTTCGTGTTGTGAAAGGCCATCATTGGAAGTGCTTGTGCGGGCTACACTATGATAATAATTTCAATCGTGGCACAGGGCACCAGTGGCCAGTCCAGCCGTCTCGTCAGCACGCTCGCCCGCCCCGCAAGCCCAGCCAGCCGCGAAGAGACAAAGCCCTCCAGCTACATCAGCCCCAGAGGTCCAAGGCCCTCCGCACCTTCCTGGCGCGCATCGTGCCCATCACGCGTGCACAGATGGGCAACCCCATCCAGCAGCCATGGGCCACAGTATGGGAGGAGCCACCGACTGACCCAGCCCATATCAAAGACTACAAGAGCCGCATCTACAAGAAAATGGATGCGCTCGGGCAGCTCGCGCTGGTCGCCAGGGATGCGGGCAAAGGCATCGACTCACTAGTTGCGGAGATATCCTGCATGAAGCTCATGGCCCAGAGTACGGACAAAGCCAGCGTCCAACTCGGCAAGCTCAAGACGATGCGCGACGCGGCCTGCGACAAGCTAAAGGCCGTCCACGAGCAGAGGCACCGCCTGGCCACGGAGGAGCAGGTCATTCAGCACGAGCTTGAGATGATCAACAACTCCATCCAGGAGGTCAAGGAGCTCGAGATCTACGAGCGCGAAGCCGAGGACGACGGGGGCGACGACATGGAGTGGATGGGCGCTGGCCTGCCAGAGGGCGCCTGGCCCGAGCAGGGCCAGCAGCAGGCCGCGGCTTTTGGCGCCCCGCCTGGCGCCTCGTCGTCAGGCACCGCGGCCTTCGCCGCCCCGCCGCCGCCGCCGCCCCAGGCCGCTGGGCACGGGCCCCCCCCGCAGCCAATGCCGCCCAGGCCCATGGGCCAATCGCGCATGCAGCCGGGAAAGTCCGACCCCATGATCCGCCCCGTCCCGCCTCCGCCGCCACCGCAGCAGATCAACCAGCCCGACCCCTTCCAGATGCAGGTATTGGCCATGATGCATGCGTTTCAGTCACAGATGATAAACATGGCCCAGAAGCAGGATGCCAACATCGCCCAGCTCGGCAAGGCCATCACCGAGATCCAGGGCACCAAGTTGACATCAACATCAAGTGCCAGCGTGCCATCCAGTGCGGGGTTTACCAAGCAGGAGGGGATGAGCGCACCGCCTCAGCCTGCCTTGCTCCATGGTGCGCCTACGCCAGCCACGCCAGCGGTTTCGCCTACACCAGTAGCAGCTACGCCGCCGCCAGCGCCAATGGAGGCGACGTCACCGCCTCATGGCCGCTACCCTGGATCGCCCACGCCGCCGAACGCTCAGCCGTCGCCCGTCAGCCATGGCCCATGCACGGAGGGATCGCGCGGGCCGTGCCCAACACCAGTACCAGCCAGCGAGATGAAGCAGGAGCCCAAGGAGGAGGAGCTCAAGGAGGCCAAGCGCGAGGACATGTCCCAGGACACCCAGGTGCTATACCAGCCTCCGTTGTCGCCGACCCAGCCCTTTTTTTCACACGGGGGATCCTCTACAGGAGGACAGCCAAGTGACTGCGCCCCAACATTCAGTCACAGCCAATCTGATAGACGTTGCCGATTCTCAGCCGACGCAGATGACGGCCTCGCAGATAGCCGAGGCAGTGCGCAACATCGAGTCCGCACGCGGCGTTCCCGTGGGTCCGCCAGACCCCGATGCCGACGTGCCCAGCCCCCCGCGCAAGATGCCGAAGGGGGGCAAGGGCGAGGGCGGGCCTTTTTAGCCCATCGCCCCAGCCATGCCAACTCGCAGGCCGTTCAGCCAGCGAGCTCCCTCTCACCCCTACCTCATCTCATTCATCTATATCGCTCCTCCAGAGTCGTCCAACTCTGCTCGTGCATTTCCTCCTCCCCACGATATGGAAATATAGATTTCTTGATTTTCGCGAGCGAGAACACCTCAACACCGGTGTGCACTTGCTCCAGCTATGAAGGGGCAGCTTCCGCCCCAGCCATTATTATCACTGATATAAGAAATTCAGGCGAAGACAGCCTCGCAAGGCAGCGTCGTCTTATTAGATCTCTCTCCTCGGGGCATGGGGAGGGGGAGGGTAGGGCTGATCGACAATGTGTTGCCAGCAGCAACATCTCCTGTCTTACAGCTCCCTCTAGCGCAGCCTCTGCAACTAGCCAGCCAGGCACGCCCCCAGGGATAAAAGGGGACAGCCAAGCTAACACGCCTAACTGCCCCACCCCTAGGCACCTCCAGAGCCAAGTCAGCAGGATGGTTCGAGCTAGAGTGCAGCGGCCACGGCGTCCAGGGAATAGACACCAGTGCCACGCTGACGCTCCAATAAGCTTGAGCCTGCCAATATCACGAGGAGCGTGGAGGAGTCGGAGATGGGATAGGTTTGGGAGGAGGGAACATGTCATACGAGAGGTGTTGCGGCCTACCTGTGCGCCTGCTGTGGGTAACCATTCTAGCTGCACGGAGGCCGATTCCCCCGACAACACACGTTGCTGGTCTTGCGACCCCCTCGAATTATTGTTCTTTGCTGAGCTGACGCTCGCTGTGCTAACACCTGTTGGCTCGATTGCCGAAAGGTTCTTAAGTTTTGACACCAGCGGGCTTATAACATGTACAGCAGTCAAGAAAGCTCCGCTACCATTTGCATGCGCAGCCCTCGGTCGAATAATTACCTCTCTACCCGCAGCCTCTAATGCCAGCGTGGCCGCTCTTTGCGCGGCTCAGCAGCTCTGCAACTCGTTGTATCCTGTTAGCTGTTGTTTCTCTTATATGTTTGTGTGCTGTGCTGATTTCTCGCTGGTCATGTCACTTTGTGGGGGGTCCGACGCCCTTCTGACGCGCCCATCTGAGATTGCCCCTGGCCCTCAGTATCCCGCGGTCCTAGATCAGGACCCACCCCCCCTCACTCGGTTTAGTCTGCCAGACATCCCATCTGTAACCGAGCAGTTGAGCAGAGTTGCCTTCCCCCCGCCTGATTTGAACACTGCAGATTTGACCGGCCTCCCCCAAGAAGCCCTGATGACACTAGACCTCTGCCCCCCAAGAGAAGGAGAGTGGACCAAGGACCACATCTTTACAGATGGATCGGTTAAATGTGCTGACGACGAGATCGCGGCATGGGCACTCATCTTAGTCATGTCTGACCCCAGTGGCTTCTCTTATGCAGGCAGGTATGGAGGCAAGGTAGCAGATTCTTGCAGGACTATGCCGACCCACGCCCTAACCAGCACCGACTCAGAGTTTGCTGCTATCTTGTGGTCTATTCTTATGTTGTTGTGCATCCAAGATACTCTTCCAGTGCATATTGAATCTGATTCTCTCAATGCAGTTCGAGCGTTGAACGGGCTTTCAGCACCTCCAAGGGAGGACCCACTTGCGAGACTCACTTGTTCGTTATGGCTTGTACTCTGTCAGCGCAGACATTCCGCCATCTCTCACGTCAAGGGGCATTCTGGTCACCCGTGGAACTCCTTGGTTGACTACGTTGCGCGCCACACCTTGCTTGGCGACCTGGCCCCCTCTTCCCTGCCGCCTGACATCATTGCCACCGCTGACCATCATCTGGGTGTGGATTGGGAGTGGGTTGCCCAGTTGGGCCCTGCTCAGGCCCTTGCCTTTCCCGAGTGGGGACGCATAGTTGAAGCGCCTGTGCCATCGTGTGTGGCCGCGGAGTGCCATATCAAGGGCCTCACTTCGTACAGAAACGTCAAGGCCTCTGGGGCCCTAGTTGATCTTATTACCGTCCAATACAATGCTCGCTCTACATCCACGCGCAAATGTTGGGGGGCCCTAGGTAAGGCCCGTAGGGCCCGCAACAGGGCTCTTCGCATGCAATTTGGTTCTCTTGGGGCCCATTTAGTTGGTATCCAAGAGGCCCGCAACCCCAAAGGTACTAGGTGCGCCGATGATTTTATCATTTTTCTTCGGGATATGCACAAGAGAGCGGGCAGGACGGTCTAGGAGTGGAGCTCTGGGTCAACCGACGCAAGTCCTACGCGACTGGATCATGCACTCGTGCCCTCGCATCCTGGTTGCGAGGCTGCTGGCTCCTGCGCTACAGCTCATTGTCATGGTCGCCCATGCCCCCCACTTTAAGAAGCCCCCACAAGTGCAGAAGGACTTTTGGGATACATTTGGAGATCTCTGCCAGCGATGGCAACCCCAGCTTGTATTTGTAGATGCAAACGCCCGTGTGGGATCGATAGTTTCGAGCGCTGTAGGCGCAGCAGGTTTCGTTCAGAAGCAGGGCGCCACATGCGACATCCTGCATGAGAGAGCCCTTGAGGCATCTCTAACTCTGGTCAATACCTTTCTGCCTGACCCTGAGAGCGGACACACTTTCACGGAGCTAGGGGGCACCCCCCATCGCATCGACTATGTTTTGGCTGGCCAGGCCACGTTTATCCTTGCTAAGAAGGCAGCAGTACTCTATTCGTTTGACAACTGCATGGCCATCAAAGATCACCATCCTCTGCAAGTAGATTTTCAGTGGGGTTGCGAACCCTACCGCACCTGTATCCCACGTTGCCCCAAGCTTGACCCCAGGAAGATGGCTGACGCCGACGACCGTGCCGCCTTCGCCACCCAGCTTGAACACTCCCTCTGGTTTCCCTGGGACCTGGATGTCAACGATCACTTGGACGAGCTGTCTTCAGCCATGCTACGCTGTGCCAGTGCATGCGTTGCCTATCCCGCCCGCGCGCCCAAGCAACCGCACGTGTCCTCGCAGGCTATTGACCTCATTAGTTGGCGCCGAGGGGCCACTAGGGCCCTACGCAAGTGGTACACCCCTCATACGCTGAGTCTTTGAGCGAAACGCCACCATCCCAGCAACACTCTCGCTCTCTTGCGTTCTCCTATTTCATTATGCAAAGCGTATTACAGCTGGCGATCTTGCGATTGCTCATGACGAGCGGTTCACCGACTACATGAGGAAAGCAACGGCCCCTCTCGGGTTTGCAGCCAAGCAGCTTCGTCGTTTTCTCATTGCACCACATGCCTTTGCCGACGCAGTCATGAGCTTCTTACTGAGAAGCAAGGCGACCTTATCCAAGATTCTACACGACGACAGGAATTGGTTTCTTGAGAAAACGGCCGACCAAATAAATATGTCTGTCGACGCCCGCATGCCCAAGGCCCAATGGAACCATGTCAATGCTTTGCTCGCAGCTGGGGGGAGAAAGAAGGGGGCTTCACGCGTTCAGGACGCACTACCGATGATGGTAGCCCCCCCCGCCCAGGGAGAGATTGCAGAAGCCCAGCGTACGGGCTCAGTTGCGCCTGATCGTTTACTGACGTCTCAGGCCGATGTCGCTCAGCACATGCAAGCCCATTTTCAGGCCGTGGAGTTGGGTCGTGCTGCCACCCTTGAAGAGGTGGTTCAAGACATCAACAGGTTACCAGCTCTCCTGCGAGTGGAGGACGGCCGAGAGCCCAGGGTTCTCCCATCAGTGGTGGACATAGAGCATTTCATACGGCACATCAGGGTAGGCAAGTCCCCTGGCCCTGACGGGGTTCCTGCTGATTTGTTACGTGCTGCTCCCCGTGCTCTCGCTTTTGCCCTGTGCCCACTGCTGGCCAATATTGCCATTGCTGCTAGGGGACCTATTGTTTTTTTTTAAGATGGGGGAGGTCACCTTCTTCTACAAAGGCTCGGGGCCCCCACAGGTTGCCAAGGCTCAGCGCAATATTACTATGGCTAGCACTTTTTGTAAACTATATCACCGACATATACGGTCTCTTGCCCTAGATTTCTTTGCCATGTGCTTGCTTGATGAGCAGTGCGGAGGGGTTGCTCACAAAGGCCCTGAGATGGCCGTGCACGGCCTGCATTTAGCAAGCATTGCTGCACACAAGCGCAAGTTTTCGACCCTCATCCTCTCCCTGGACTTGGTTGACGCATTTTACAGCGTCATCAAACAGTTTGCGTTGTCACTGCCGGGCGAGGAAGAAAAATTGGAGGACGCCTTGCAGCAGTTTCAGCTTCCCCCCATCTTGCTAGAGGGTGCCAAGGTCATGCTGGCAGCCAGCAAGCCATTGGAAGCACATGTCCCGTCTGCTCACCTGTTGGCACTCATTCAGGAGTCCCAGAGAGGCACGTTTTGGCAAGTTCGCAATGCCCAAGGTCATGTCCTCCCAGGGGGGGGCACCAGGCCGGGGGCTATCTTAGCTACCGATTTTTTCAATCTGGTTTTCAGGTCCGTCCTACTAAAAATCCGTGAGGCCATCGGTGAGCTGTCGGCCTCAGTGAGGGGCGTCTTTGACCAGCCAGAACCATTCTGCTCGTCTCAAGTTGATTGGGACAATGCTCAGCCTGATCTCTCTTTCGTTGATGACCTCACAGTCACTTTGTTTGTAAAAAAGGCAAAGGACATGCCCACAGTGGCGTTGGCCCTTGCTGAGGCAGTGTACGTATCCTGCCTATCTTTAGGGCTTCGCCCCAATGCCGCCAAGACCAAGTTACTTGTGTTTCTGCGTGGCGTGGGGTCCCGCGGGGTCCCTGGATTTTCTCTCGGGGTCGCGGAGGTCGAGTCAGTGCGCTGGGGTTTTGCCTTCCCTATCGTCCAGGTTCACAAGGTCCTGGGGGTTCAAATCGCTGCATCTGGCAGCATGGCTCCTGAAGTCACCGCCCGCTGCGCCAAGGCCCGCGCCGCCCTCAGGCCCATCAGGGCCACCATTGGCCCGAGAGAGGGCCTCTCACTACGCTCTAAAGTGCTTTATGCTGAGGCTTTGTCCTCGTCGGTCCTGCATTATGCA